GGAAAGTCAACCGTTCGGGCATATTCACCAGCATCTAAAGCACGACTTTATCTTCTCTGCATGGATGGAAATATTCTTTCCTTTTCCCTACCTCTCGAATGATCGACAATGCCTTCTCATATACGTGATAAGTCATATAACATGGGTTTTGATTTTCCCTTTGGCAGTACTAGCTGTAGAATTTGTCGAGTGCTTAATACTGCGTCGATATTCGCACAGGAATTGCTTTAATCCTTCAATCTAAACGACAAATATAAGTCAAATATTAAGTCTAAGGCATCTCACTGCATATTGTTTAATTGGACACAGTATAAAGGACTTACTTCTTCAACTGAACGCGATATTTCTTCAGTTAATTCATCCGCGTTGATTTGCAGCAGCTAAATAGTTTGATGAAAATCGCCTCCGTCGTTGTATCTGCGTCTCCAGCACCCAGAATTGCGTGAATTTTGCTTTCTGAATCGTATGCCGAACTTGTCGAAGCCATAACAAGAACAACAATGCCTCATTTTAAAATTTATAAGCACAATATCATATTTCTGTAATACTACGCTATAGTAATTTCTGAATTTGATGCACCCGAAATGTCACGTGACGTACCTTTCCAACATCTGAAATCAATTAGCTCGAAAGCCTTTGAAGTTTGCCGGCCTTCCAAACCCTGTCCTCTATTAACTATGGATCAAACAATGAACTGTTACTTGCGCCGAGTGTAACTAAAACGAAGAAGACTCTTGGAGATAGAGCTTTCACCGCAGCGGCACCAAAACTTTTTAATGAACTTCCCCGAGAAATACGTACTGTGATCAACCTCAATCAGTTTAAAACACTTATTAAGACATTTTTATTTAGGAAAGCATATGACATTGTTTAGCTAATGAAATTGATACATTTATGTACATATACATATATATATATATATATATATATATATATATATATATATATATATATATATATATATATATATATATATATATTCGCTAGTTTTAATTATTTTAAACTTTTAGGACCATTATGGTACATTAGTAGAATAGAAATTTTTACTCATATAGTGTAATTTCAAATCTCAACAGTTGTTACGCGCATTTGATCATCAATGAATGGAAATTTGCGCGATATAAGCATTAAATTATTATTATTATTATTATAAAACTGCATGGTATATTATAACTCAAACTGTCTAAACACTCAAATAATCTCCCTTCATTTGTAGTATCAACGTTGTAAACTTTATTAAAAATTTATTTTTTATTTAACTTTTTGATTAATATTACTGTTTCATTTATATTTTGGTACTATTTGTATTGGATTGAAGTTCTTATCTTCTATTTTTATCTTGTTTAAAAATGCTGCTTATATTCTTGGTGATCTTATTTTAGACAGTCAAGCCAAAGTCATGTACAACATCACAGAGAAAGATTGTTATGGGGAAAGAAGTAAGCTGGCATGTTGACTCTTCTTTTCGTATTGTGTATATACCTGTAGAAATCACGAATTGAATTGTATATCCACGCACAGCGGCGGAAATTCACTTTTTCCGGGGTGGGGAGCAAAGCCTCCTAAATTTCTGACAAAACTTTCAAATTTCCGACATACCCCCATTTGCACTCGAAAAGACTGTTATTTAGCCCTCTTTTAGGTCAAAATTTCCGACAATTCATCAATTTTCCGTGAAGGGGGGGGGGCAGGGCGGCCGCCTCCTGCCCCCTCCCCCAAGATTTCCGCCACTGTCCACGCAAATTTTTTTTACATGATAAATCACTAAAAAAACTTTTCCCACTAATTAAAACATACAATGTGAGATGTTTCGAGCGAGTGAGTTAAAAATGGAAACGAAATAATAAATAGAGAATAATGAATGACAGCCTCATGTAGCAAATATTTCTAAAATACTCATTCATAATTCATTAACCTAGTTGGGGTGACTTTATATCTGACAAAATGTGGAATTGTTAATTGTTCATCCCAATTAGTATTCTTATATAGAGAACACTAGAGAGACTGCATTTTTGTAGTCGTATTTTAAGCTATTCAAAACATTCGTTGTTGTGTCTTATCAGACATTGAGCGCACGGTAACATACTCCTACTCGTATTTTAAATAGTATATAAGGTACTGACCAAGAGTGCGTGAGGGCTGTACGGGAAAATTTCAAATAAATGGGCGTTCACGCAGCTTCCACGAATACTATTTTTTTAACATTCCTTTTCCGGGAGTTTTTTTTTCTTCCTTGCCCATCACTTTTCCAATGAACCGCCCCCTTAAGAATCAAAATGCTGCATGTGTTACTGAATTAAAGAAGGGTTTTGTATTGATGGAAATTTCGATTGTGAATTTTATACATTTTTCTAGTTCTAACTAGGAGCAGTTGCAAAAATAAACTATAGACCTTATACCATTGAGGCAAGAATCCTGAATATTATTTCAACATAAAATAAAAAAAGGCAAGAAACTCAGCAGCGACAAATTGCTTTTCTTTATGCTGGTTAATTTAATTAATTAAACTATGAAATTCACTTTCGAAATAAACCTATAAATCTGTGGGTAATTTAAGTGCGTTTTATTTTGAACATTATTTTTAAACTCATCCTGCCAAACATCCAAATTGAATTCGCATGTTCAAATTGCAAAAAAGATTGCCTACGTTAGCCCAATTAAAACATGTATAAAATTTCACCTTTCAACATGCTTGATTTGGAAGTTTTTCAAGCGCAACAATCTCGTATTACTTGGGTTTTTTTCAGTTTTGATTATTTTTTTAAAAATTTATATAAATCATGTTGCAAGCATACATACTGTGGATCTGTTTCTTTGTTGGGAAATAGATGCATGTGTATTCCTCCAGGCTGTTCAGAATTTGTGTAATAATCTAAGTTAGAACTGCCAGAAAACGGCCTTGGTCTCCGCGTTTGTAGGTTTTACTATAATTTTATTACGTCACGATGAATTTGTGTTCATCTTATGACGTCAAATGGCATCAACATGGCCAATCAAAAGTTCGCACGGGAAGTGCCAAAAATGGCCACTTTGGAAGGCTATAAAAACTGTTTGAATTGACCAATTTCAATTCTGTTTGTGGTAAACAGGTAAGGAAGGAAAGCACTTTTGATTAAGCTAAAAAAATGGGGATCAAATAACTCGCTACAGTTAGTCGAGGACCTGTATATGAGTTTGTATGCATTTCATTTAGGACAGATAATTTCAACAGTTTTGGGGTAAGTTGACCATGGCGGTCAACATGGTGACGCTGCCCGAGCCCCAATCCGGGACGATATGTCCGAAACTGACCACATCCAAAAACGATGCTTTCGCCATTGTACTATCTACCAAACTATACAAGCTTTGGCTATCCTGAAGTGCTTATATGGTTCAGAAATGGTGCTTTTAGGGGTGGTTATTGGTAAGTGTGAAATGTCTAGCACTGATATTTTACAAGAAAATGACCATGCAATATTCATAGTCAAACGTTAATTTGTGGCTTACAACTTCAAATAAACAGCAGTAGACCTACATTACCCTTTTTCCTAAATCTTTTCGATAGAAACATAATTAGCGCTTATTTAATTATATTATCACTGTTTTGGTGTAAAATGGTTAATATTTTGTGACCGAAATAATAATTTCAAATGTACCTACCTCCTGCAAATGAACGTATTTGACCAAATTGTCCACTTTACTCCGCTGTTTATCGCAGATCTCGTTGAAATCCTTCGAAATATGCAATTCAGCTCAAACATAATGTTATCAAGCACATTTTATTAAACAAGTTTTGATATAAACATATTTAATAACAAAAAGGAAAAAAAATATTTACAACAAAAGTGCAAGTTTGAGTCAAAAGCATTTTGCTTATCTAGGACTCTCACTTGCGAACACACACAGAAATAAGAATAAAAATAAAGCATTTGGTCAAACGTTTGGTAGGAAGAAACGATTCGTATCGATTATATATTTCTGAACAGCGGCGAAATATCTTCGATTTATCTGCAATCTTACTTCTCCAGAGCCGTGTAAACAAAGTTTAAGCTTTCCATACTGACCACTGTTTAACCATACGCTCCCCAACAGTTGCACAGCACGAGTAAATAATACAGTTCCCTGAGCAGCATATCGTGGACATAAAATGAAATAGTAAAGCACAGATTCCTCACGATACCCACTCGCACAACTTGGTAATAACTTGCATTTTATCTGGAATAAATAACTATTTAAGCCCGAATTAAAATCGAAGTCAAAGACGAATATGTAAAATTGAAGCGTGTCTTGTTAATGAATACTTATATAAATGGCATGGTGTAAAATTTTCAAAATATACGTTTGAGTGCAAGTTTTAATTGGATTTCAAGTAGATCCTACCTGTTTAACCATCATTTAACGTATTTTGTCCAAATTCGGCGTCATTTTGTCATCCCGTTCGGTTGTGCACATTTCGGCCTCGTTCTTCTTCCATCGAAGAAGGATAAGAAGTGATAATGACAAATTTAACCCTTTGTCAAGTGTATTAAAATAAAAATACAATAAAAAAATGCGAAATGCAGCATTTTATCACCCTGTAAGATGTTGCTTACGAGTCTTTCAAAACATTCCGTATAAATCTCACGTGGGAAAGTAACAGGGACATGACAGGGGGGGGGGGGGGGGTCAAAACGAGGCTGACAAAAATTGAAAAGTTGAAAGATATAAAACACGAATACGAAAGCTCGAGAAAACTGGCAAGAAACACACAAAAAGACGTATAGTTTCAGTAAAAGTGTACATGCTTTTTTTATAAATATGATAGCATAGAAGGTTTGAATAAAAACTCTTATGCCTGGTGTTTTGGCTTTGGTTTTGACAAAATCAGTTGCTCCTGAGTCCTGACAACGACATGTTCATGTTCATTACCAAACAAAAACATATAAAAATGAATCTGTTTTAATTTAATCATCGTTTTTCTACTAAAAGGACGTTGGAAAAGGTATGTTGTTTGGATATTTTTGTATTTTTTCTTCTCGTCTCAGGATAATACAGTATGCTTGAAAAAAGTGCTTTTAAACACAAACTTTTATTTTGTTTACAATAATTATTTATATCAGTGAAAAATGCATGACACAAATGGGTAGAGAATATATTCCTGACTTGTTTTTACTGCTGCAGTTACAATTTCTGTTTAATTAATATTATTAAATTAAGCTGTAATTTTTTCGCATTTAAGTGGCCGAATACATGAGCATTTACAAAATATGTAGTTTAATCGACGTAAAGTTTTATTCATGTAAAATATAAACTTTCCGACTTGCAGTCACATTTCTATCAAAATATTGTGATAACTGGTGAACATTGTGCTTCGCATGAAGTGTTTAGGGCTTGATGCAATTCATTTTTGTATTCTGACTATAGTTAGGCTATGTTTTTCAAATATGTTTGGCAGATTTTTTCGTTTAAAAATTGTTTCACTCCTCGGTTTTTAGCGCGAAATCCAGAGCGGGCAGTTTCATTTCAAAGCGGGCAGTTTCATTTCAAAGCGGGCAGTTGCGTTTCAGAGCGACCCGGATGCAAAGAAATGGCACGCTCTGAAAGGCTTTCAGCCAATTAGTTTGCTTCATTTTCACTGATAAAAAATAAATGAAGATATTACTGCTCTGTTAATGGTTGGTTTCAGTGCATTTAATCCCAAATAGCAGTGCAACTTTTTGTAATCAAAGTGCATTTTTCTGTAATCACAGGGCAAGAATCTGTAACAAACTGATCTGATTGGTGAAAAAACATTGTGCTGATTAAACCAACCAATCAGTTTAAAGCAATTTGTTTAAAGAAGTAACGGTCACATGCAGATTGCTTCAAATCAAAACAAACGTGGCACCGCGCTACATAAAGTAAAAGTTGCCTTCGCGTGGAAAATTTACCGTATTTACCGTAAACAAGACTAACAAAAATTACATAGTTGAGTGGAATTTTCAAGGTGTTAGCGTTGTATAATGTGATATAACAAAGCCATGAAAATTTTGCCAGTGGAATGTTCGCAATAAACGCGTATAAAGTTAAAACTACAATTGTCTTGAACATTTTCATGTAAGGGATCGTTCATTATTTATGATTCAGGGGGGCACCAAAGAGAAATAAAAATTGGCTACTTTTTTTAATTACCCAACCATTTTCGAAGTATAATTTTGTTTTACCCAACCCTTATGCAACTCAAGATTTGTATGGTTAGAAACAGCTTGTTTTTCATATAAAATTACTTGTTTGATACATAAACGTGAACATTGAATTCCAAAACTCTTTTTACTCAAGTAAAGAAATTTGAAAAATTCAAATGAAGGACACATACCAGAGGGTTCCTATTCAATAAAGGCAAATTTTTCCTTTACCCACCCTTTCTATATACCAAGTTATTGGTTACCCACCCTATTTCTCTTCGGTCCCCCCTGAGGCATAAATAATGAACGGCCCTAAATTATTAATAAGTTATTGCATGGTTTCTCGTGAAGTAAACATGGACTCCTGAGTTTTTCAAAGATTTCAAATAGACTCGTCCTTCGGACTCGTGCTATTTTGAGGTCTTTTCAAAACTCACTCGTGCATGTTATATCCAAAATGTACTCAAAACCATGCTATTACTTATACTTATTGCCTGATTGCAGGTTACTTACGTTACGGACCCGTGATTAAGGACCAGAAATACTGAATGGGTTTTTTTTCATATCAATGGTTTAGAAATATTTTCATGAGGTGAATGATGGATTTCCCTGCACTTTACGACGCGATGTGATACGAAATGGTGTAAACGGATATTTTTTCTCGAATTTTAAATCAATTAAATAAACAAAATACATACCATACGAGATGATTTTATTTGTACAAATAATCGTTATTAACATTATCATGAAAATAATGTGCTTCTATTGAAATTCATTTATTTCTGTATGAAAAGCATAGTTGAATGACCTACAATCACAATATTGAATCATTGAATTTAAATAAACTTTATCGTTTGATAGTACTCGTACTATTTGCGCCGTAGCAGCAACATTATGTATTAGTACAAATTCTGCATATTAAATGAGCTTTCGTGCGTTCTGATTGACTACTTGACTAGTAAATCTGACGCATTGTTTACTAACAGACCAGCAATAATGATGTTCAAAAAGAACGATTCGGCAAATTTGGTTTCAAAATCGACAACAAATTTTAAAATTGTCCCCAGAGAATGAAAGAAGCACAAAATGTTGTAATTAATTAACTTGAAAGATAAGATTCCTTCATTATTTTACTATGTAAACATATTCACTGACAATTTAAAACTTATTTAAAACTCCAAAACAATCACTTGAAAGAAATGCTAAAACTATCTCGACTGTTGGGAAACGACTTGACGTGATATCCTTTTAAACTAATTTTGTTTTGTATCCTATAGTTTTCTCAATTTGTGCTAAACCATTTCTTTTGATATGTCATATTTTAATTGTGCTGTATGGTGTTCTTGGCGCTTTATTGTGTTTTTTAAACTTTTAACGTGAAAAGTGTTATTAAAATTTTGTTTCGAACGATATAGTTTTACATTTCATTTTACTAAATTTATCAGGCATTTCCAGAAAAAATTAAAGGTTGAACAGAAACGTACCATTTAATTCTAAGTCTGGCGAAAAAGCATTTGATTATGCAGAAATCGAGAAAAACAACTTTGTAATAAAGCCATTTTGAAAGCGTGCGCGTACACAAGAAACACTGCAACACTATTAGTGACAGTAATTGTGAACAGGACGAAAACAGTTTTATTTCTGAATTTTAATTGAAATGATATTTGGATATTATAACTCCCTCTCAAGGAATATTCGCCACTAACCTTAACGGTAATCACTTCGCCTTCGGCGAATAATTGTACTTTAACATGCATGTTACGTTTAACATGTTAAATGGTTGACGTCCAATACGCGGTAGAAGAATGGGAATTTTGATGCCATAACGCATGTTTATAATCAGCCAATTAAATGTCCAGAATTTAATGAGGTATATATTACATTAAAAGTAATGAACAACACTTTCACATTTTGTAATCATACATAACATAATTGTAGGAACGAATACCAAATAAATATTTATGAATTTTCGTGAAAAAGTCACACTAATGAGAATTTCTTGCATCGTATAACTAGCCTTATACCGTTAGTTCTAGTTATCTAGAGCTTATCGTGTCTTTCTCTCTAGTCGAAAAGGAATGTCCCAAGTGTTTCTCAGTCGATGATTTTGAAGATCTCTTTGACAAAAATATCAACTGTTCTAGTTACCGTGAGTATATTATTATCAGCTCCATTGTTATCTTTTCCTACTATACGTTATTTTACATCATCCTAATTATCCAGCTCGAATAAACATAATCCTATTACATGAGTAATGCGTACAGCGTCAACAGCCTTTTTTGCCAGATAAAGTATGTTTGGGCGACATAAATTATTCTAGACGAGCATGCCCCCAAAACGTATGACCTATTTGAGCCACCCATTCCCCACAAAAAAAGGAAGCAAAAGCCAAACAAACAAATATTTGCTTCTGACAACCGTAACAACAATCGAATTCAAAAATGGATAATGAAAGATGAAATCGTCTATTTGTTATTTCAGTAACACGTGTTAAATCTATTGGTGGTTTAATGAAAGTGAAGAAAGCCTATATTAAAGCTTACGATGCTGTAGAATATGCAACGATGCCCTATGTAATACCAGAATTCTGTCAGTGTGACGAAATCAACAACGGTGTGGCGTCATTGGTATTTGGACAAAGTGACTATTTCCGAACGAACGGAAAGGAAATCTCCCTCGTGCTCGACTCTGGTACAACAGTTGCCAAGTGGGATGGTAAGAAAATGAGAAATATATTCAGAGAGAAGATGGTGCAGGAAATTTACCGGAAATGCTCGCGTTTTTTCGAAGGCTATAGTTAATTGGATGTTCAACGAGGACTGGAATTTACCTTTACATTTTTTGACTTTTGATTAAATATATGGGTTTTGATTAAATTTGTCTTGCATGTATTTGTCTTTGAAATGAAAATAAATAATCTCAGATTTGCATAAATATCTGTCTTGTAATTATTTTGAGTTAAAATAACTGTGCACTGTCGCTGGATGATCGCTTTCTATTTTTCTCTGTCGAGCAATGGAAAAAAAGAAGTTGTGAAAAACAAGGGAAATACTATATGTATAATTGCGCATTTGTTGACAATTTCGCTCTAAGCCAATCAGAATGCGAAATTAGTTACTACTTCCGGTAAAAACGCACATTTGAACATAAAATATAGGGTCTTAAATAAAGCTTCGAGGGGTTTAGGATTTCTAAATTTTTTATTGTATTCAACGTGGCAAGGTAAATCGGGATTTGCGTTTTATTGCTTAGTTATAAAATTATCGGCATTCGAACTTACGCGCTTTTTCTCGACCCCTATTCGAATACCGATAACTTCAAAACTGGGCAATAAAATGCAAGTCCCAGCAAAAAATTTTTAGAAATTTCTTATTTTACCTTCTCAGTGTAAATCCAATAAAAAAAATTAAAAATCCTAACCCCCTCAGAGCTTTATACAAGACCCTATATTTTCTGTCCAAGAATCCAGTTACGCATTCTGATTGGCTTAGAGCGAAATTGTCAACAAATGTGCAAAATTCCCCCTTGTTCTCAAAGGGATATCAGTTTCGCAACTCTCTGTAACGTCGTGGACGCAAAACTGAGGAAATCAAAATTTTTAAACTTTTCCATCTCGTGACCATTTCCCAGGCTAATATTGTTCTAGATTCTTTTCACCCTTTCCTCTGATCCCTGTTTTTCTCGTCCTTTGCTGTCATGCCGCTTGCTTCCTTCAAATAATTCAATCAGAGAATTTATTCTCGGTGCTCATAGCAGTTTTTTACGACCATTCAGCATCAATCTAGTGTTTGACCCTGCGCGTAAATTAGTTTTCCTATGTACTGCATGTGGTGCCGTACGAAGTCATCAACTTCAAACGCAACAAGCAATGAGAGCGAAAAGCACGCAGTTATTTTTTGCGAAACGTTTTAAGATTGCATGTTTATAGATCATAGAACTTTTAATAACTTTATAATAATAAACATTACATTGGTTTCGTCATTTTGTAAAAAAAAATGGATAAAAATTCCAATATTACCGTGTCAATCACTTTATTTCGCCACAGTAAACTAGCTGAATACTTCTCGTCAAAACGGCATAATAAATGCAATTTAAATATGTCAATTTAGAAGGGAGAAGATAGAAAGGAAGTTTGAAATTCTAGTTACTGAATTTTGGTTTGTGAATCTTAAGTCTCGTCCTTTATCTTCAAATGATTCAATTACTTTTTAAAAATGCTAAACATTGTGTTGTAAATAAATTAGATTTAAATTAAGAAAATTCCAAGTGGATGGATAGCATATCCCAGATTAGTAGAGTTATTGGAAAGCTAGTCTACACAAGCTAGTGAACGAGTTGTGGTATTTACATAAACATACCACGCAAGTGCATAACTGAAAATTCAGTCTACGTGCAGGGTAATTTAAAGCTGTATAGCCCAAAATATCTTTGAGAAAACGCACAAAACGTATTCCTTAGTGTGGAAAAATACAAACATTTTCAGACACTTCAACTATTACTTACGACACACCACCAAACTTTTCGTCACTAACAACCATCTCTCATTTGTCTTTGCCATCAAACGAGCGAATTTTAAAAAATGGCCCTAAACAGTGTTAAAATTATACTTGGAACATTGGCAATTGCTGTGTCAACTGTGTGGTGTATAACACACGTCTGAACGTGCATACTTGAAAAAAAAGGGATCTTGATACTTTTGACGAATCGGGAAACTTCTATTTTTGCTCTAGCGTAAATGTAGTGTGACACTGCCCCATTCTTACCGAAAGCGTTTACAGCACAATTCACATAATCACAATGAGTTCATGCACCGATGCATTTCTGCGACGGTGGTTTTGGCCTGAGTTGCAAAAGATCTGCGTGTACGCGCGGGTACCATAGGCTGTTTACTGCGTCCCGACAGCGTTCACTTTCATTTTCCATCTCTCGGAAATGAAATATTTTTACGGGAACTAACACTTTCGAACACGCTCAGTTCTAATCCGAAATGTTCCTGCTCCGTAGAACCGAGGTTTTCTCACACAACTGCCATTTAATCTTCACTAATTTCACGACAAATTTTCCCATTGTTCAACGACACGGATCGATGACGGCACACGATGTCACTCAAAAGGACAAATTTCTATTAACCAGTCTTCTTTTTAACAAAAGACCGTTTTGCTCGAATAATTTTGAGTTATGTAATATTATGCATGTTGGATGTAAACAACATATCTTGTCTACAACTTTGAGACGGTACATATAACGCTTTCCAAAATCATCTGTTCTAGAGATAGCTCTATTTATACACACAGATTGTTGAAAGAATATTCGAAAGAAAATGCTCCGTGTTTAAACAGGCTGATGATACGACGCTCACTGTGTGTGGCAAATCCTCACATGAAATTTCGTCTGCTTTGAATCATGATATAAATAATGTTAACGATTGGCTAATGGCTAATAAGCTTTGTTTGAACCTTAGCAAAACGGAATATATGCTAATAGGATCCAGACACAGCATCAATAATCTTGTTGATAATCCTTGTATTTCTGTTGATGGTAAACTTTTGAACCGAGTGATAGTGACTGAGTCTCTAGGAATTCATATTGACCAATTTCTCTCTTGAGATTTTTATATTGAGAAATTGACAAAGAAAATTTCTAGTGGCATTGGAGCGATTTCTAGGCTAAAACCGTTTGTATGCAGAAATACTCTTATTTCTGTCTACAACGCTTTAGTTCAAACATATTTTGATTATTGTTGTGAGGTGTGGGATATATCCGATTGGCAGTGTTTTATCTGATAAATTGCAGACTCTTCAAAATCGGGCAGCAAGAATAATTATGGGTTACCCAAATGAGCACGGATGCTCAGAAGCTGCTTTGACTGCGCTCGGGTGGAAAACACTTAAGGAACGTCGATTTGAATCTAAAGCCAGACTCATGTATAAGATTATTCATGGTTTTGCACCTACTGCGCTTACTGAAATATTTTCTAGTGCTTCAGTTGTCAGATCTCATGACTACAATTTACGTAATTCTGACATGAAGCTCAATCTTCCTTTTCCTTAAACGGAATATTTAAAAAAGAATATAAGTTTCAATGGTGTTAAATTGTGGAACGATTTACCTATTGAAGTTAGAAACGCGGAAAGCCTAAGAATTTTTAACTCGCTTTTATGTGCAACTAGCCTGTCACGATCTATTAGTTTGTAAATATTTAACTTTGTATATACGTGTCTTGTTGTTTATTATGTGTTTTAAATTTTTTCACCACGCCCCCCTAAATAAAATAAAGTTTTACCTACCTACCTACCTACCTACCTACCTGCTATTCAACAAGTCCCTTTCTCTCGGTAAACTTCCTCAGGAATGGAAAGAAGCTAACGTTGTTCCGGTTCTTAAGAAAGGTGACTTTCATAAAATCAGCAATTACTGACCGAGTTCCTTGCTGTCCTTAGTGTCCAAACTTCTGGAACAAGTCGTTTATATTCACGTGTCTGAGTTTGTTCAATCCTCGCTAAGTGACTTACAACATGCAGGAAACGGTCTTGCACCACTCAACTTCTTCGCGTTTTTCACGACGTCGGCATGGCTCTAGATTCCGGAAAAGAGCTGACATGATTTATTTTGACTTCTTGAAAGCCTTTGACTCCATTTCCCATCCAAATCTTCTTTTTAACCTCAAACAGCACGGCATCTCTGGTATATTATTGAAGTGTTTAACGGATTACTTGAATGAAAGGCGACAACGATTGGCACTTGGCGGAATATCATTCTCCTTTCTTTATGCAACGTCAGGTGCTCCACAAGGGAGTATACTTGGCCCTCTTCTATTTTTGATCTTTGCAAACGATCTTCCGAACGCAGCTAAGCACAGCACGGTTCGTATGTTTGCTGATGACAGCAAATGTTACGGTAAGATAACCCAGCCAAATGATAGAAATCTACTTCAATCTGACCTGGATTCCTTCCAACATTGATCATCTACATGGGATCGAAATTTTAATCCCAAGAAATGTGTCGCTCTCCGATTTTCACGGAGAAAAACATCTGCTTCATCCCAAGGTTATGTCTTAAATGAAAATCCAATTAAGTTTGCCGCGACTCAGAATGATTTGGTATCTTGGTTAGCAACGATTTGAAATGGTCCTCACATGTTATCAATATAGTCGCTAAAGCTAACAGAATGCTTGGTTTCTACGACGAAATAGTTTCCACCTCACTGATGTGAACGCTCGTCGCCTTCTATATCTGTCTCTGGTTCGTTCTCACTTGTCATTTGGAAGTGAAATCTGGGCCCCTCAAGGACCTTCTGCTGATTTGGTTCGTCTCGAGGATATTCAACGTCGACCTACGAAATTGATTCTAAAAGATTATGAATCTTCCTATCCTGATCGTTTGAAATAACTCAATCTAATTCATATATATTACTGGCATGAAATTAATTAAAGACATCATCTTCTTCTATAGTCGGCTGTGCCAACTTGACACTAATCAATTAATTTACAAACCTCTTCATCACTCAACCCGTTCCAGTTGTGGCGATTTTCTTCGTCCAAATTTATGTAAAACTCCATAAATCGTACGACTGTTATGTTAATATATAAATAAATAAATTAAAAAATAATTCTAATAATACGTTATTCCAACAGGTTTTTTTTTTTTTGAAAACCCTGTATACCGTCGGCGGGCTGATGTTTTATTTCGATTGAATATAAATTTTGGCCAAATTGCCTTTAATTCTTTTGAATTTACTAATGCGAAGCCGTTTAAAGCCTGTTTTATACATCGAATTTCGGTCCCGTCGAATGCAATTCATGCAAACAATAAATAATGAAGCTTAATGATGTTTATCATCTCATTATCTATTATTTCAATTGCATTCGACTCGACCAAAATTCGACGTATAAGACAGGCTTTAAACGGGTCCATAAGAACTGAAAACTGAACAACATGGAGAAAACTTGCATCCAAGGACGTCGAAATGTCAAACTAAACATAAAACCACATTTATTTACTTCGAGAAAAAAATTAGAGTTGAGGGCATTGTTTTTAATGCATTCGACACATGCATGCCTAACGTAACAAAAGTGTACTATGCTTTTTTGCATGCAAAACGGTATATTTAATTAACCCATGAAATAGCATGCAAATTACAGTAGTTAGCAGGAAGTGGCCGAACTGTTGATGCCATGTATTCGTGCATAAATTACCTTCAAAGTGACTTAGGGGCTGATCATTTTATCCCTGCTCTGGCGGGCTGGCTCGGCTAGCCGGGCTGGTTTTCAAGTGCTTAGATCCCACCTCACATATTGTTTGTATATTAGTTTAGCATTGGGTTCATATGAGAAGCGGGCCAGCCCGGTTTGCAATGATTTCTCTTGAGTGAGGCGAGATCCCGGCTTGCCGGGCTCATGTGAATTTACAACCGGGCTAGCCCGGCAAGCCGTGCTGGAAATTTGCGTGCTTTATTCCACTGATAAACAGTCTAAAATGTCCAAAACTATAGGAATTTATTGAAATTAAACCCCCTGAAGCTGTTGTCGTCGACAAAAATAAAATTTTGCCAAATAAACACGAATTTTATTTTCCCGCTAAAATATCGCGGGAAATCGTGACTATGGATATATATGATTGCCGGGCTAGCCCGGCAAAGCGGGCCAGCTCGGTTAACCGGGCTCATATGAACAGGCCCTTACACAGACAAATCATATTCAAACAAAAAGTCAACAGACGAAACGTACCCTGTTCAAATTATATACCAAACTGCTCAACAATAATCGATGTGAACTTTATTCGCTTCTAACGTTTGAAATGAACGCTTTCAGGCTTGCAATTACAATGTAGATTTTACTAATTAGGCAAGGGAAAACAAGATTAGGCGAATAATACAAACACAGAAATATCACTTTCCAAGCGATATAAATTGTTTGTAATAAGCAAATTCAGTATGTATATATACAGCGTGTATAAAAAAAACTGAACAGATTTAAAATTGCTCTCAATTTGGCAAAACAGCTATTTGTATCTGGTTTTTTGGCTTTACCTCGGTGTAAGAACCGCACAACTTACGTCACACATCTTTGACTTACGTCACACATGAACACATAATTAATATATTTTTCTACAAATAAAGTTGTTGGTCTGTATTGAAGTTCAGTGATACAAAGTTGTTGGCCTTCTTGGCCCTTTTGGTCCTTCCGGTTCTTCTGGTTCTCGCGGTTCTTCTGGTTCTCGTGGTTCTCGTGGTTCTTGTGGTTCTCGTGGTTCTCGTGGTTCTCGTGGTTCTTGTGGTTCTCGTGGTTCTTCTGGTTCTTCTGGTTCTCGTGGTTCTTCAGGTTCTCGTGGTTCTTGTGGTTCTCGCGGTTCTCGTGGTTCTTGTGGTTCTCGTGGTTTTCGTGGTTCTTGTGGTTCTTCTGGTTCTCGTGGTTCTTGTGGTTCTCGTGGTTCTTGTGGTTCTCGTGGTTCTTGTGGTTCTTGTGGTTCTCGTGGTTCTTGTGGTTCTCGTGGTTCTCGTGGTTCTTCTGGTTCTCGTGGTTCTTCTGGTTCTTCTGGTTCTTCTGGTTCTCGTGGTTCTTGTTGTTATCGTGCTTCTTGTTGTTATCGTGGTTCCCGTGGTTTTTGTGGTTCTCGCAGTTCTCGTGGTTCTCGTGGTTTTTCTGGTTCTCGTGGTTCTTGTGGTTCTTCTGGTTCTCGTGGTTCTTGTTGTTATCGTGCTTCTTGTGGTTCTCTTGGTTCTTGTGGTTATCTAGCATGCGCTCAGTTGGTGGTTTTCTTGCTTCTTTCGATACTCTTGCGTGGTTTTTGTGGTTGTTGTATTTATGTTGCTTTTCTTTTTAATTTTGCACATGCAATACCGTAATGTTGTTTTGGACAAAATGTTGGTTCGTGGCCTATTGCAATATTGTAGGATATCGAGTTAATGTACATTTCTTCATTAACTAATAAACGATAAAATTATTGTATATCTGTTTAGTTAAATGACGAAGTAAAACAATTATATATTTAATTTGCATGTTTGAATAATGCGCCGGGGATAACAAAATTAAAGGGAAAGCAAGATGCCTTCACATTGTATGTAAATCTCGTGTAATATTGCAGTCTGACTGTCTGTTAATTGATCAGCGGAAACGATTTTGCTGATAATTCTCGAATTTGTTCCGCAGTACTTGCCGCTTGATACAAATATCGGTATAGACCTCAGTCTACTAAATCTATACGCTCTGGCATATTATGCCAAAAGTTTAAAAAATCATTACTGTTTGCGATATGCCGAAACCTAAACCGAGAATAAGCGGCGCTGCTTAAGACTTGGCGCAAAGGCATAGTTCAGGTTCTTGACATTATTTGCGCGAGATGCCCTTAGGAGAGGTTTAATTGATTAGACAATATTACACTAAAGTATTGTAATGTAATACATCGCACACGTAAATTAGAGCCTTTTTGCTGCGGTATCAATACAGTACAGCGTTAGCGATGTTAAAAATTGACCTATTAACGAGCTAGAGAAGAAAGTTTACTTGCGTACTTATAGTTTGCTACGTTTTCTTCATGCAGTCATGAATGCTATATGTCTATGGTGGCATTTCCCGATCATTCCTGCTTAGACAAGCTGTGCACTTTGGAAATTACGATTTGGAATTTTAAGTGAAAATAGCGATAACTTTGCTAATATAAATGCACATGCATCATTATCTTCGCTGAGCAAACTATCTTGAAAATACCAAACCTTTAAGGCTGTACACACTGATCTTTCTCGAATATGTTCTGCCTGATACAAATGTCGATGTAGAATTGTAGATCTCAGGCACAGTGGCGAAGCCAGCGGTCATGCAGGTCATGCAGTGCATGACTAAAAATTTCCCGAAAAATGTTTAAAAATCAGTTCAGTATAATTGTTTACAATAGAATTATACTTTATCTTTGCACTTCTACGCTTAAGTATTTTATTTATTATTTTGTTTACCCGAATCAGTGGTCTTTAGGTCGATATTTGCGCTAAATATTCTCGTATGTTATTGATTTTGGCTTTGTTACCTTGGCAACTGAGCGGTCCTGCATATTTTCACATGCATGACCGGTTGCGTAAGCGCGTGGAAAACAATTGCGTGTGATTGCTGCGTGGTTTGCTCGCTGTGTCTT